GTCGGACTCTGCGAAGTATGGTGCCAACAGAAACGAATAATCGGAGGGTTCATCGTAGATAAACAGCAATCCGAAAGCGTGAAGCATACACTGCAGTCACCTCTCCGGGGCCTTATATATTGAGACGCCTTGAACCATAGAAGTTTTGATTCGGGCAATTTGTAGAAAAAGCTCACCAGAAGCTGAAATCGAGAGCTGTTGTTTACGTGCAAAGCAGGTATCGACAGCTCTTCCAAATGTATGCCACATCATAGTCAATAGAGCCGCATTATGTACAGACTTCAAACCGGTAGCCACGTCAGCTTTCGCAATTAGATACCCAACGAGTACACTTAGATCATCCACGCTACACCCAGGAGCGTCATTGGTTTGCACATTTGCGCGCAAATTTCTCTCTTCTATGTAACTAGCCATTTTGTCCCGAATCTTAACAATTCTCTTAGAGTCACCAAGTGAGTTGGTGTAGCGCTCGCGAAGCATGTTCACGACTTGTGAAAATACCCTAGCGCTGTCGATTTTGCTATTAGTCCATCCGTCGCTCTCGCCTTGTTGCTTTTCTTTGTCTGTATGTAAATCGAAAAAGCTGTTAGCAACGAGTACATGTTCTGGGTCGGGAGACTAGCTAATTCACTATGAGCTTTATGTATGTCATCTAAATCGACTTTCGATAATCCTATTGAAGTGAGGAGCTCCTCAAACATCTTCTCCGCCGCAATCTCTTGCCCTATTGTGCCAGCGGGGGTCGCAAAGCTCTCCGCATTGCCTTTCGCGGTGTGAATCCGTAATGCAAGCTGGTCGGTTGCATGGCGCCTCATCGTCAATTTTTAGTCTACATTTACTTTGCAACCGCGTGGAATTTTTTTCTGATACAGACGCCTTTTACGCAATAAAAAAAAATGCTTTGACTTGATTTTACTAAAGCGTCTTATCCTGAAATTTTGAGAATGCCGGACGATATCCGGAAATAAGCTGGAATAAACTACTCCTACCCCTAAATAGAGGTGATTGGGTGGTTTGAGCAAATAAAAGTACATGTTGTCCAGCGAGTGGCTGTGGATTTTTATTGCTTACATTAGGGGTGGGGTCTCCGTCAGGAATATACTTATCCTACAATAAACTAGTTTTAACTGCCGCTCCTAATTTCAGCAACTGAGGGACAGGTAAAATAAAAATAAAAATTATGCAATCTCAGTGCATTTTTAGCAAGCACAAAACGACACGCTAGGGTCACAATTGGCGCCCCAACAAAGTTGCTAACAGTAAATAGTGATTTGTAATTTTTCGTGAAAATTCATCAGCATCCTTTTTTAAATAAACTAGAGCTCTCGCAGGATGGATGTGATCATGCTCAGGGAGACTGCCGCTGGAATCCATAACTTATTAGGAGCTTGAAAGTTGAGATAACGGGAGCCGAACTTTTGTAAATACGAACTTAGTACATCCAACATTTTGCACTTATTAATACATCTGGCATATATAAAACGTGAGAATGCTAGTCTAAGTGCTTTTCCACTTAGATTACCGTAGGTAATACCTCGTTTTGGAGGACACACTGTATGCTCGATCTAGGCTATAATACTTTCCATCGGCAATGCACACATTGAGATCGCGCGAGACATAATGATACTAATCAACCATTTGGAGTTATCGAGATATTCGCGTCTAAAGATCGCCCACGTGTTTTCGCACTTTATCGAGTAGCTGAAAAAACAAGCGTCAAAGTTTTTCAGAAATTTGAAGCAGGTGTATCATTCCCGAACAGCGCACTCCAGCCTCGAGAATGCAGTGCCCCGAGACCGAAAGCAACACGACGGCACCCGCTCCTGCCGTCGCTGTTCCAGTGCCGCCCCCTGCTCCCCCTGTCCTGGTCAATGCGGGAGAGCACGGCCCCCACCGTGCCACGAAGCAACCAGCCGACACCAGGGCGCACACAAACACGGCCACCGCCGACCTAACAAGTATCGCTCAACCTACTGCTCCTCGTGTCGCTTTGCCCTCCGCTACAGTACCCCAGCAGGAAGGGTCGCCTGCCAGCGATGAAGCAGATGAAGGGAGTGAAGACGAACAGGAGAGCGATGAAGAAGCTGACGACAGTGACGACGAAGATTGGAGTGACGACAATGAAGATGAAGAGGAAGACGAGGAGGCAAGCACTGGTGAGAGTGGTGTAAGCGACGCAGCTGAAGAGGAGGAGGACATAAGTATCAATTTGATTGAGGTGAGTCTGCAACAAACAGTGGCGGGTCTAATTCAGGCCGACAAGTGTGATCGCCGATGTCTTCAGGGAAAAGCCCAAGAGCTTGAGTGGCTCGTGTGTTCAATCTCACAGATGACCAGATCAGAGAAGTTGACAAGCCTCTACACGATGCTGGGCGTTCTCATGCAGACGGATACTGTGGAGAGGCACCGAGGAGACGGAAAACGCGAGAAATTTCACTACTACCTGCCACTGGTTGGGAGAGTTTGCCGGCCCATGTTTGCAGAATGTCTCGGGGTAACTCCTTTGACTATCCAGCGATACAAGAAGCGTGTGCGCGAAGGAAACATTGCAGCTAAGGCGCACGGGAACACACTGAACAAGCACGCTTCTGTCATCGATCTCGTGTGGCTGGTGAAGTGGCTTAAAGAGTTCTCTGCGGAGGTCGGGGAAGTAGTACCAGTGCGTGTTCGGCTGCAGAAGACGGCGAATGGCACAGTGAAAAAGTACTACAGCTCTGAGATGTACACTTTGCTGCCGCCGACGTTCACGTGGGATGCGATCTATGATGAAATGCACACATACGTGGAGGAAATCAGGATTCGAGTTCGGGAGCCAGCCAAGTCTACTATGAGGCAACTTTTAACGCTGCACTGCCCCAACATTCGCATCCGATCTGGCCGTTCGAACGTGTGTGACTTGTGTTCCATTTACCAGTCGCGAATGCGTGGAGGGGCTACCGCAGAGCAAACGGAGGAGTTGGGCAAGCACACACTGTCTGCTAGGGAAATGAGGTAATTTTGGATCTGGGATATGAGTATCATTTTGTTTTACTAGCAATTTCCAAGGTGGACACTAATATCATTTTATTTTGCTGGTGTATTTGTAGACAGGAATATAACAGGGATAAGGCTCTCGTAAAGACAACAGAGGGCAAGGACGTCGCAGTAATCGTTATGGATTACTCTCAGAATCTGACTGCTCCGTCCGTCACATCTACGCCGTCACAATGGTACTTCTGCTCGTTGGTCTCTGTCAGTGTGTTTGGGATATACTACGAGAATGAAGGCAAACAAACGAACTACATCTACGATGAGTCTGTCGGTGGGAAGGGAAGCGAGCAAATCAGCTCCACGCTGCAGCACTTTATCGACAATGTGTTGGTTCCTGCTGGCAAAAAACGATTGGTGATATACGCTGACAACTGCTCTGGCCAGAATAAAAATAACTACGTGATCAAGTCTCTGCTAGCACAAGCCCACATGGAGGTTTTTGAGAGCGTGGATTATAAGTTCTTCGTGAAAGGACACACTAAGAATTAATGTGACCGTGGCTTTGGTCATATTCGCAAGCACCTCGCCCGCACAGACTGCTGGACTTTGGGTCAGATTGTCCGAGAAGTAAAAGAAGCCGCTTCATCCAATGAAACTGTGCACATTTCATTGGCACGATGGGTTCTTCAAGAGCTACAAGCCACTACTCACAGAGCTCTACAAGAAATTGCTTGGCGTGCAGCAGTTTCAAATATTTTCAATGGATTCCACGAAACCGGGGGTTGTGATCTGCAAAAAGGGCCCCACCAGCATTGCAGTGGAGAAGGATCTGCGTAAGAAGCTAGATGGCCATCTCACCGAACGTCACAAGGTGACGCGCATGTTCAGCAGCTACCTGGAGACGATGCCGCCGACTCCGCGAAATGCAGAAAAAATCGACCAAATGCATCGCACTATCAGGCCTTACGTCCCAGACGAGTATCAGTCAGATGCAATCTACGCAGCTCCAAGTAAGCAGCAAGGGGACAGTGCTAAAGCCGCCAAACAAGCTCGTCGAGAGCACCGAGCGGCAATGGCAGTGACCGCGAAAGAGAACCAAGACAAACGCGGTAGGCAGGATGACGAAGATCAAACGAGAAACACTAAGAAGCGAAAAGCTGCGTGCACTGGGGATGCTGTAGTGTAAGTTTGCCAAAATGTCCCGCCTAAATTGATGTCCATCACTAAATTTAGGCTTTTTTTCAGATTATACACATGGGCTCACTCGGATTTGATCACACAAATGCGGTTTTAGACACTTTCTACTGCGTTTTAGCCGAAACGAATAGCACCACGCGATTCTACGGGCGATTCTGCCTCAGACACTGCAATAAAAAAAAATGAAAAAGTTGGTCATCCACCGAGGTAAGTTTCCAGAGGCTCACCACTTCGTCAATATCTCGTGTCCGAAGGTGTGCAAGGGCTCAAAACGAAGCCAAGATACATAGGTTTGTGTTGGTGCGCCTAAATCGCGATTCGTACCTAGGTTGATTAGTATACTTATGTTTCACGCGGTCTACATGGTAAGACTTTATAATATTTTAGATCTTGTAAACGTTAGTTGCTGGAACTACGATTTTCTGGATAAAATTTCGTATGACGGTCCGTCATTGACGGATAGATAACCAATGGATGCGCATAGTTCCACTTTCGATCGAGGCTGTGAACAAATGAAGCTACCAGACTTTCAAGTACACGAAGTCTTACTGGCAAACATGAAGCTGCTCCAAGTTGCACGTGTCGATCAACTGACTCTAACCATTCGGGTATGTAAGACGACGGCACTAAAGCGGATGAGAGAATATTTCTCGAAACGTTTAATTAGTCACAGCGTCTTGTAGACACCATGCACGCAAAGCAATAATCCAGCGATCCCTACGCGAGCATTTAGGGTTGGACGAGGCTGTCAACAGGAAAAAGATGTTACACGTCCCTCATGGCACTGCTTAGGTGCAATCAAAACTGGCATCTAAAAGTTGTGCGTTCATCTATTACGCAACAAGTTCTATCTTTCTAGCCTCAGTGTACGCTGTGTGTAAGGTATCGACAACTTGCGACGAATGCTCCAGCAGAAAAGCAAGTGTGATCTCCCCAGCTTTTTCTTCAAATTGCTCTTGCAATGCACGTCCGATGACTGTGTCGCTTGGATACAGTTCCAAGGACTGCTGTGCTTTGGCGTGCATCACTTTCGGCTTCTTGGCTGGTGTAGTTTCCGTGTCCACATCCACAACAGAGCGCCGATACTTCCGCCAAATGTGCCATGCCGTCTTGACGTGTTCCTTCTCCACTCGCTCTCGTATCTCCTGCGCACAGTCGTTCTCGTTTCCCAGCCATTGCAGCACGCAGCGTCTCTCGTATCGTCTGGCAAATAGACACAATTCCTGCTCCTCGTTGTGGTTATCCTCGTGAGTATTCTTCCGTTTTTCCACACAGAAGAACCACTTCTTTGCCGTTGTCGTGTGTGGGAACGATACAAATGTCTCTGCACGATCAAAACCCACTCGTAACGCAGTCTTCTCCATCACGTCCACGTACGCCAAACCGGAAGGGTAGACCTGGAAAACTGCTCGAGAGTCTCGATCACTGGAAAGCTGTGTCAACAGCGAAGAGAGGCAGACTTCCAGTCCTTTGGGCTGCAGCCACTGCAGCATTGAGATCCCAATTGCCGCATCCAGTGTACCATCTCGAATCGGGAGTTTCTGTGCTGCGTTGCCACAGTAAAAGTCGGCGCTTACTTGACTCTCCTGCTTTCGCCCCTTCAACGCAAGTGACAACATCGATGCACTGATGTCGAACGCTAGCGTAAGCGCAGCTGTATTCCTCTCCTTGAACCAGTCTAGAGCTGCTTGCGTACTCAATCCGGAGCCAGCACCCAAGTCCAAGAGGAACAGGACATCGTTGTCTTTTCCGGAATGTGTCAATCTTAACGTCAGTAGCTCCAGAGCGTGTCGCGTCAGGTCTGATTGAATGCTGGCGTTTGCAGCGGTGGTGTAGACATTGGACTGCTTCTCGCTGTAGAAATCACGCGCTGCAGCCGACAAAGACGTCGCCGACGCGTTGCCACGCTCCTCAGGTCGCAGACTCCTGAAAGGCATGTTATTTCGCCACCACAATTAAAGTGTAGCCATTTTGGCAATATATTGCTGTTTTGTACAAATACCCGCAAGTAATTTAAATAAGTCGCCAAATGGGTTAAATAACGTTGACGCTCAAGTTGAAACGCGGAAAAACGTTTGATCGCTGGGCGATTGATCATTCGTGTCCTCGATGTCACGCGCTGTGGCTGTTTCACCGACGCCGGAGCGACGCGAACTTGATCGTTGACTGGATGTCGATAGTCGGGGGTCCCGTCCGAAGCACAAGAGCACAGCGACGAATGGTGAGACACACACTAAAACTGCAGCTCCAGCAGCAGCGCCGCCGATAAAAACGCCCAAAGCTGCGAGTCCCAACGCCAACACAATTGGTGCTAGAAGAATGTATCCAGACACGCAAAAGCATGTTGTAAAAGCTTGTCGAAACGTGAGACGGGCGTGCGCTGTACAAGGAAGAAAGCAACAGCACAGGACGCTGAACACCACAGCCATCACGAGCGCCGGCGGACCAAAGATAACGAAAAAAATGATCCGCATGACTATGCCAACGCCCTTTTGAGTCGAGCCTTGTCCCTCAATATCCGCCATTTGGTTGCCTGCACAGCCACGAACGTTCCACCACTGCAACATAAGCCAAAAAGCAATCAAACGTTAAATTGGCTCATCAATATAACAAACGTTTCCCAGTTGCAGTACCTGAAAGTGCTCTGGGAAGACAGTATCGTCGATGACTTTAAGGCAGATCCAGCAGAAACTGGTAGTACAGACGACGCATTTCATCTGGTTACAGCCTCCAGTCTTCTCCACGTTGTTCTGACAGCCAGGACACGGTTTCGAGATCTTACTGATCAGCGCGTTATTAAGTTTCTCCACAGCGATCATCTTCTTGTCGTATTCAGCACACGAGTGTCCTTGATGAGCGCTACTGTGCACAAAGCAGAACTCGCGATTGCAAGCCTCGCACACGCATTCCGGGTGGTCGCTGCCTGCACAAAGCTGCGAGTGGTCACAATACGGACATTGCCGTGCCAGTTCGTGCTCCTTGTTGAACTTAAACTTGTTGTGTTTCTGCCACACTCCATCGGACACGAGCGATTGAATGTCGTCCACTGCGATCTCCGCGTTGCACGCAGTTTTATCCTCTGATATTTCGAAAAAGCACTTTGGATACACTTGTCCCTCTTTGATCTTAAACTCCAGATAATTCCTCAAACACGCCTCGCAAAACAGGTGTCCACATACTGAGAGTGCGTAAGATGTTTTCATGGGCGCGTAGTCGTAGCAGATCTGACACAGGAACGTCTCCTCCATAGAGAGTCCAAGATAACTGGCCATGGATCTAAATAAGCTGGGCACAGAATGACTCAAGCTGTTGCTCTCCTGTCTCCTGTATGCGGTTAAACTCGAGCTCAAGTCCCTTTCCTCCTCAGCCGCAACAGACTCTGGTGCTCTACTAGAGGCTGCTACAGCCAGCGACATGTCATCTCCATCATCTCGCACTTCTGCGTTAAGCTCGCGCATGCTCATCCTAGTCAAAGGCACGGATCTACCGCGATCTCGGACATTGGAGCGGGTGAGCGCTCCTAAGGTGTGGCCTGAAGCGGCCCGAGCGAATCTGGACAAGCGACCCCAACCGCCTCGTCGCGTTTCTTCCATGGTGGCCAGCACCTCGTTTTCCATGATCGGGATGGATCCTCGTCGACGCGGCGTCTCGGAATCAAAATATCGCTGGTCGTCTAAGTCCTCTACTGTGAGTCGAACCTCGTCGACTGCTACAGTTGCGGTGGACGCTTGTGTTCGCGAGAAACGACCATCACTTTCTATTGGCAACGCCGAGATCTGATTCTCGATAGCTGCCAGCAGTGAAGTTATTTGCGCGTCCTGCTGCTCAAGATTATGCTGCCGCTGCAGTTGATGCAGCCGCCAGCGCCAGCGCATGCGCTCATCCTCGCCAGAGAAGGAATGCAGGTGGCACAGCGAGCTATGTAGATCCGACAGGAGCGTGACACGCTCACGGATCGACGCGGCGAGTTGCATTGCCATGGGTGCTACTGGCGGATTTCTGACTACTGGCTTGAAAGATGATAGGATTGGTGGAAAAGAGAGCATCTTAGCCAATCAACAGCATGTAGTGCTCAGATGAGCCTGTCTAAGCTGATTAAAGAACTCCGGATAAAGGCGGCTTTTGGTTTGCGCATGTCAGGGCGAAACCATGATAGATCATAGTATTGACAATAAACCTACGATTTTTCATGAAAAAAGATGATTTAAGACTAGCGCTTGGAAGTGAGCGCCACCGCCTTGCTACACCATTGCATGGCGTTATTCACAGCATCAACAGTCAATTTCAAAAAGTGCACGCTCGAATTAAAAAAATCTGTCAGATATATTACCCGTAAGATTTTATATACCTGCAGAATCCGTCCATGGCATTAAGTGCCAACTTGCATGTCCTCGAAACGGAAAGCCCGCTGATGGTGGGGAAGTGTATGGCAGAACGCCCGATTGCACAGCTCCGACGTCACAGCTCCAGCGAACAGGGGATCGGCAGCGAGCTTGTAACGGGCCAGGTATTTACTCCGTTACTTGCTTACACTATAGTGTTGAGGAAGCTCGCAATAGGACGACTGAGTCTTAGGTTTAAGGAAAAATCAACTCTGACTTTATTTTAGGACCAAGGCCACAGCCCTGGCCACTCAAATACACGTCATAGTCCAATTGGCTAATAATGGGTCTGGCTCCCCATATATCAGCCAATGGCATGACAGCATTTCAGCACACGCTAGTCGTGTGCTGATGCACCTACTTTTGTAAAGAAATCTACCTACTTATGTAATGGAGGGGCCCATTACAGAGCTCCAAGAATCCTGCGCGATGTTCGGTGATAGTCGTTCCGTCGGGGACGCGAAGAATAGCTCGACGCTGTCGAGCGAAAAAGCGTTTGACGGCGCTCTTGTAGATGGAAGACGCAATCTCTATAGGATTGAGCATGTGAGAAAAGGAGCCAAGCTTCAGCATTTCTGCCGCGGCGAACTCCTCCTCTTCGAAAACGTCCTAGGCAGAGATGTGGCAGGGAGTGTTGTCCAGGACCAGGACAATCTCGTCGAGCGGCATCAACAAACGGATATGACGCAAGAAATGCCGGATGAATTCGTTAGCTAGATCGGACGTAACGAACCAAACTGGGACTCCTAATAGGCTAGCCCCGTGCTCGCGATTACTGCAATAACATGGATATTCTTGCCACGCTTGTCTGCACTGCTCGCCGCCCTTTGGCGCTCCATCCTCGTCCGCGCGAGCACCACAAGTTGAAGCTGGTCCCGTCCAGATTGAAGACCTTTTTGTTGTTTGCGAGAGCGGCGTAGAACTTGACAACGTTGTTGTACCGCTTCTACTTGTTGGCTGGTCTGTTGCGGCTGACGACGTTACGGTGCAGCTTTTTAAAGGTGAAGCTGTGCGCGTCAAGAGCGCGTCGTATGGTTTCACGGCTGACTCGTACGTAAAATTTCTGCTCGACAAGCTCAGCCATCTGAACGAGAGTTTGTTCAGGTGTGCTGGCGAGATCGTCGAGCAGATACTCGACATGGGCTTCGACAACCTTCTTGGCTGAGCCACCACGCTGCTGCTGAGTGCCGCTTCAGTCGCCGCTGTCCATCGCAGTCTTGATCCAGCCCCATGCACTCCGCACATAAACATCGTGGAACCCAGCGACAGCCTTTCAATTTTTGCCCTCTTGGGTGGCGCGCAGGGAACAGGCTCGCACTGCTTGCGAGTGTTTCTTGTAGGTTGGTGGTGGCATGATGCCAAATCAGAACTGAGGTCGTTGGCTGTCGAGCGCAATGTTCGCGCCAAGCCTCCCGCCATTTTTAAAGCCATTCGGGTCCAACCGTCGATGTCCTACAATACTGAATATAGTGTCGTTTATGACATTGCGCGGGGCATTTGAACTCGAGCGCGCACTTTTTGAATTCGACTGTTGGTGCTGTAAATAACGCCGTGCAATGGTGTAGTATCTTTGCACGGAATAATCCTAAAATTCGTGGGCAAAATGTAGATCTTCAACCTTTCAGCTGCCACCAGTGCCAAGCCCTTTAAACATTGTTTTCCCTCAGCTTCACTGCTGTCTAGCCACGTGCGTCTTCATCGTCTAGACCTTCCTCAACGTCATTTTCGAGAGCAATGTAGCTTGAAGGACTCATCGCATCGTGTAACCCTAGTCTAGATATGAGCACCTCTAGGAATGCCAACCCTGGACGGCTCAGTGTGTTGCTCTAACGTTGCACTCATACTTCCTGGCACAATGCGGGTGTGCCGCCAACAGTGGCGGATTGTTGTTCCCGAAACAGCATTCCACGCATCCACCACAACCTTAATCGAGCTCAGTAAGTCTAATCGCTTTTCGGAGCCGCATCGATTCACGACCCACTGCACAAATCGTTTTTTTGTAGTTGAGTTTGAAATTCCAAATAATGCCAGCATCCATTGGTTGTAGATAGGAAGTCGTATTCTTGGGCAGAAAGTGGATGTGGACGTTTTCAGCTCAATGTCGGCATGTCCAGGAGCATTGTCAATCAACAGAAGATTTTTACGACCGTACATCTTCAAATGCAGGGCTCGAAACCATCCCGTAAACACTTTAGCTGTCATCTATGCTTTTGGATTTGAAAAATAAGACCTTGGAAGAGCACGAATATCCACCCCTCGAAAACAGCGTGGTTTAGCCTCTCTGTTGATCACAATCGGCTCCAGTTTTCCGTCCCAGGGAGATTGCAGCACAAACCAATGCTAATGCTGGCCTTGTCCTTCTTCTCCCAGCGATCGCTAATGTTTGACTGGGTAGCATGCGATAAAACAAAGCGGTTTCGTCCATGTTAAATATCTTATGAGGATTATACTGCTCGAGGAGCTCCATCAAAATGGTGCGTTGATGGCCTAGATCTGATGTATTAACCGAGCCTGCATCGCCATGCAGCTTGTGCAGAGAGGTGTCATGTCGAGCTTTGAGCCGCTGGATCCACGACAGCGTGATGCAATCCTGCCCAGCAAGCTTGTTTGCCTTTGCTTGTGGCACGTCATCCGAGAGGATGCCGCTGGCCTCTTAACTATGAACAAATGCCAGAAGGTCCGGCTCAATAGCTGCGTGGTGAGATCTGCATTTTTTCTTGGTCTGGTCGTTGAGAGAGCCATCGAGGGGCTCATTCATTATTCACTCCACAGCTGACAGGCCAACTTTTTTCTTAAGACGCGCAGCGACCCAAGACTGGAGGTCGGCACGCTTGAGCCTTGGGTTGGCGAGATGGTGACGCCGAAGTTCGTTCTTCTCGTAAATGGTGAGGTGCTCGCGAGATGATCAAATGTGTGCTGAACGCGTGTTGTCAAAGTGAGCCACGTGTAAAACGCTCTAACGGCCAAACAGGGGGGGGCTTATAGCCTTAAACAATTTGACTTCATTTCACTATGCCACTCGTTTGGATATGAAAATAGCGTCCTAATTACCAAACTGACCTTATATATGGTGGCCATATAGCCGGTGTAGTCTGTAGTACTTGATATTTCCTCCGTTCTCTAAAATTAGGGACATTTCAGAATGACGGTCAAATCGCTGAGGCAATTTCCCATACCAAATTCCTTATGTAATTGACGACAGTCATTGTCTTGAGGTGGCCCAGCCGATCCGCCAGCATAAAAGACACCTGCATACAAAAAAATCTGTAACGTGTGCAAAAATATATTTGTCGCCAAGCACATAAAGCGCGACGACACGAAATTTAAATCAATTTGATTAGCTGCTGGATTTGTCGCTAATGACCGAGCGTCCCGAGGGCCATCCAAACCACCGATTATTTTAAGACGAGCACGATAAGTGTGATGATTTGCAGTGATTAATTAGAAAGGACCAAAAAAAAGAACCGCACACCACACTAAAAATATGGGAAGTTTCAGAAAAAGCACCGTTGTATCCACAAATAAATCTAGCATCTTCACAACACCGTAAAATTATTTGTAGCACTATAACACAAGGATATAAATACGTAGCCCTCGTTTCCAAGCACGCAGCATGGATGGTGAACACGGAGGTCATGTTGGACGCCTGTTAAGGCTTAAACTATGGAGTTCAGGAGACTCTGTTTCGTATAGCGACTTTTTAGCGGGCCTTTCAGCCCTTTTCCCGACCGATTAGCGAGCTACCTCGCTGCACAATAGATCACATATCGGGCTACAAGGACAACTTAGCGACTACATGGCACATAATGCGTTATATAGCTACAAAGTGTACCTCCAAGCGTTGCAAGGCGTCTGGAGAAATCTGCCGCTGTCGGTACAAGCTACTAGAATACCAACAAAGTGACGGCAAAATTGTATTAGAGCAAGGCGTACATATCATGGCTGAAGATGCGCCGTCACCTACAACAGCTAAGCTAACTTCAGAAATGAAAGCCTATCTGGACACTAAACTCGAAGACACCCTTTCAATTGTGGCCGAAGCTTTGCACGCGTCTCTGTGTCGTGAGATAAGAGACCGGCGCATTAGGGGGCCTGCTGCAGAGCTAGCCAAAGTGCAGAACTATCAAAAAGGCTGGTGGCGCAAACATCGGCCGGACACAATGGAGCCTGTGCTAGATATTTGTCGACAATGCATGTATGATTGTGAATATTCTCGTTGAGTTTGGGATCAAGATCCGAATTCTCTGCTAGTTTTTTGCGATAGCAAAGTCGGTGGATGGTGTAGTTGAAATAGCTCTTGGCACCGGTGCGTTAGGCAATCCATTTCGTTGACATGTACACGACTACTAGAGAGATATGTGGATGTGCAACAAAACCCGGATCTTTCAACAGTTCTACATCTAGACACTACGCACGACTGCGTAAAGCAAAATACCCTGTTTCTGCTGTTGGTATTTCAGACCACACTGGAAGTTTCCTGCCAATTCATTACTGCTGTACATCACAACTTCGCAATGAAGACGTTGCTTGATATCTGCATTTTTTAAAACGTGTGATTCTGGAATTGTTTGACGTGCAATTTTCGCCCGCCT